ACTATCCAACCCTGGGTACCACTGTCTCTCTGCTAGCCACCTCACCTTCAGGACTAGGGGCTGGCATGGAGCTCTACAGAGACCCCAAAAGATGAATTGAATCTAATCAACTGTGATGGAATGGAATTATGAAGGCCAGGCTCGGGGAGATAAGCATTTTCTTAGCTCACCGAGCCTGGCCTTCATAATTCCATTCCATCACAGTTGATTAGATTCAATTCATCTTTTGGGGTCTCTGTAGAGCTCCATGCCAGCCCCTAGTCCTGAAGGTGAGGTGGCTAGCAGAGAGACAGTGGTACCCAGGGTTGGATAGTCAGCCACTAGCTAGAGCAGCCTTGACTTATCTTTATTATTATTATGGTTGATTGCACAGTCAGCCAGATGTTTAGACTGGATTTGGCATTTTTATGGACCTGGGACAGGCAGTTGTTTGATGGTGTTAAAGGTATCACTGCAGGTTATAAGCTGTTCCAAGTAAAGCTGCCTTTTGCAATTGACTGATGGTGATTTTGTCAATGTCGATGGTCTTCAAGTGCTGCTCTCCATATAATAAATGTTTGGGGGTCAAAGAACAATCTGAAACTTCATGAAGGGGTCGATGAGCTGAAGAGTTTGGGGATCCCTAGTTTAAATGAATGTTACAATAATGTAGCTGAATTTTTCTCCAGGAAGTTATTATACTCGGTTGTGCAAATTGTGGCACCAAAAGTACTACTAAAAGTTTGACTCATATTAGTTTGGATAATAATTCCAAGCTGTTACACTGCTCCCGTGTGACCTAATATGTCTGTCTTTGTCTGTCTGTCCCTAGCCTGTGACTGTGATCCAGAAGGCACTCTGTATAATGGGCTGTGTGAGAGTCATTCAGACCCTCCTCTTGGAACCGTTGCTGGCCAATGTCCTTGCAAGAACAACGTCGAAGGAGTCCGTTGTGACAAGTGCAAGCCACACTACTATGGAATAAGTGGAAGCAATCCCCTTGGCTGTCAGCGTATGGGTTTTTCTTTCATTTTCTTGCTGTTCAGATCTTGAAGACCTATGCCAGTGTGAAAAACTGAGTATTTCAAAATACTCAGTTGCCTGCCTTCAACCTCTATCATTTTACTGGTTCTGCACTGCAGTGAGAGGAATGTAAAGGAAACATTTACACTGCTCACGTGTGAATGAATATTTATGTTAACTTCAGTTACATACTGTACTTAAATGAAGTTGAACAAACATTTGACATTTTTTTAAGGGGAAAAGGAAATCTTCATGCTTCTAGGTTGTATCCTTAACCCATGTGTTACAGAATTGTTCTGAATGGTTACACTCTGTCCCTCAGCTCCTTCAACACTAAATATCAGTATCCTTATTGCTATTTATTTAGCCCAGTCAGACTTTCTTGTACTTAATGTCCAAGTGTGTTTGTTCTCTCATTTAGTCTGTGCTACCCTTTAAATCCATGTAGTAGCACTTCATTATTATGGGATCTGCAAAGGGATTGTAAAGGTCTCCAGGCTAAGCCTTCAGTTCTCTGAAGGTTTCAGACTTCAGAAGCAGTTGATCATCTTGTAAATAATCAATGATCAATCAATCCAGGGGAGTCCACAGGAGGAGGTCCAAAACATGAAGGTGACACCACGACTGTGTAATCGAGGCCTCTTCCTTTTTTTTACATGCATCACAGTCATGGCTATCACCTTGATCATGCAGTGACAGCTGCCATCTTGACTTTTTGATCACCCCATGCAGATATCCCCGAATCAATCAATAAACAATAACGGTCAATCAATAATTCATCAACAATAGTAATCAATGAGCTAATACAATGTTAATCGCACTGCTCATTTTGCAAATCTCTTTCCTTTTTCTCGTTCCATTTTAAGCTTAAGGTGTCAGTATCTCCGCATGAAATAATCATTAGTAGCAATAGATACTACTAGGTTTTTTAAAAAAATAATTCAGCAGTAAATTGGTTGCTGTGTGGTTGGCCAAGATCTGTTCAAGTAGTCCACTTACTTGTTTGTACTTTGCAACTATCAGCGCCTCCCGCACTGGAGGTGGGGTTGGCCTATGAAAAGTAGTTCCTCCCATCTAGGAATGTCCATGGGGGAACCAAATAACAAAACAAGCATTTCACTGTTACAACACAAGCTCTGGCCCTTTGGCATGTGCACAGTGATGTTGCACACAGGTACATACGGGATGGAGCTTGTGTGGCAACATCACAACTCTTATTACATTATTCTGACAAAACCATCAGGTTCTGCAGATGTTCTCCTCCCACCACTTCTCACACAGATGGTGACCCGGTGTTCTATCTTTTCAGCCTGCAGTTGTGACCCAGCTGGGAGTTTGCCTTTCTCTGTCTGCGACCCAGTGTCTGGAGAGTGTCTATGCCAGGAATTTGTCACTGGACAGCATTGTGAACACTGTCTTGTATGTACTGAGGAGTTTTTCAAACAAGGTTTCCTGCTTAGGACTTTTCTCGGTGGCCTTCCCTTTGTTTTCCCTGCCTTTTAATCCAAATATCCGGATCAATATATACGTATGCATGTATGTATGTATGTATATTGAACTTTCACACTGGGGTAATCCCTCCCCATTTCTTTTCTATTGTAGCAGGGATACTGGGGCCTTGGAAGTCACGTCTATGGATGTTCCCCTTGTGACTGTGACATTGGTGGTGCCCACAATAATTTGTAAGTTTGGAATTTGTAAGTTTCCATTTCAGCTCTTTCACTTAATATCTAGGAAAAAATCTAAAGCAAGCAAAGAACGGGACTATTATATTGCCCAAAGCAGAATGGCCCCGGAAGCCAGTATTCAGGGGTCAGAGGAGAAGAGGTTGCCTGCACCACCCAAAAGTAGCTGACAGATGCTGGACAGATCACGTCCTCTAAGGATTCCTGACTGTGCTACCAAGAGATTAGCCAACAAATTGAATATTAGATTGAATCCACAGCAATACTTGTGTTGGGACAAGGGGAGAAACACCGCTTTTAATACCAGGACAGCTAAGGACAACTTAAAGGGGTCTCAGGAATAGGGAAGGATTAGATGGCAACGTCTTGAGAACGCAACAGGAAAGAAGACATGCGTACGCCATAGTTCGATACAAGTGCGGAAAGGCTCATGATGTTATAGTTTTGGTTTCATGTGATCTGTAACCCTTGGGGTTATATGGAATCTTGGCCGCTATGAATCGGGCAGAAAACTATTTAAAAACTGTGGCTTAGTCTTCTGTAGCTTTTTTGCATTGTTTTCTCTTCCTGTCCCTGCCTCCAGGTGCACACCAACCGATGGACAGTGTGACTGCCGACCTAATATAGTAGGCCGTCAGTGTACTCAACCAGCTGCAGGCTACTTTTTCTTACCTTTGGACTATTACATATATGAAGCAGAAGATTCAACACCACTCCTTGGAGCTCTACCCTTGGTATTTTAATTAATTTGCACTGGATTGCAAAAAATTAGTACAGATTAATATGCAGGATAGTCCATTTCAGACCAGCAGGAAGCAGAGGACAAAATGGAAAACTAAAATTACAGGAAAAAGATATTAGTGCCTTTTATTTACTTGCTGCAGCCACATTGAGAATATTATTTCCCAACCTGGCCAACTTCCAGATGTGTGGACTTCGATTCCCAGAATTCCTTTAGCAGAGTGGCCATTGCTCTGAATTCAAGTCCATTCATCTGGAAGTTGCTCAAGCTGGAAGAATGGCTTTAGAGGGAAAAGATCTTGGGATTTGCGTCAAGAGGGAATAGCATGATGGGTATCTGAGCAAAGGTCTGGTTCGGTTCAGTGTATGCTGTATGAGAATACTGGCCAAGTGGCATGGACCGACTGTGCTCAGAACCAAGAAATAAGCCACGATCTAAACTGACTTGGCTGTATTTTAATTTCAATGAAAATTGGGTCCATTGTAATTTAATGACTTCCACATATAGGAGACAAGGGAATTAGTTCCCACAAGTTTATCAAGTTTTCAAGTTTTGAAGCAGCTCTGAAACTCTATTCTCTGCTTTTGGGGAAGAAAGGATGACATACTTTGCCTGTGACTGTAATGTTGTACCTAGAAGTTTGTAGTGTAACTGGGGGGGAAAAACTTTTGTTGGGGTTTCTTAATAGGGCTTTAGTTTCCTGTTTGCCCTCTGTGCTATTTCCATTCCCTGTACCAGTGTTTCTCAACCTTGGCTGCTTTAACCTTGGCTGTCTGGTCGATTCTCGGAGTTGAAGTCCACACAACTTAAAGTGGCCAAAGTTGAGAAACACTGCCCTATACCAATAAAACCAAAATAAATTATACAAAATATTCAACTTAGGCAATAACTAATTATGTAAATTATAGTTTTTCTTGAGTGTAATATGTAGGTTGGAAGTATGCAAATTTTTATAATGTTATATGCATGATCCTGGATTTAAAGAGTCCTTTCTGGTCTCTAGTAATTAATCCCCACATAGTTCCTCATGTAAGAACTTCCTTGAATGATTTTTTTGTAATGTTACTACATATAATTAATGAAGTTTATCTTCCTTCTCTTTTTCCTGATTTTTACTTCCCTTCATTAGCATGATTACTTCTGAAAATGGAAGTTTGATTTTCCTCAATTTGGATTTGTTTTTCAAAATGGCAGAAAGTTCCATTTCAACGTGGAAACCGAGATGCAGTTTAAATGCTGCCATTTCCATATTTGCCTAATTATTCATAGCATGATTGCATGTAATGTATTTCTAACAAGAACTCGCAGATTCTGATACTATTATCATTTCAATGTATTTATAAGGTTCAACCCACCACCATGCCACGCTGCGATGTCTATTTTCAGCAACGAGGCTATGATTTCACAATTGAAAATGGAAAAATCATCCTGAAGAGGAATAAGAAAAAGGGCATCAGGAAACAAACAGTTGGACAAGTAAATCTAATATTTTATTTAAAATTAAATAAATAAATGCCCCACACCCCTAGCATTGTCATCAGCAGTTTTCTTCCCAGGGACCCAAAATCAGCTGTTCTGGACATGACAATCCAGAACAGGTTCTAAGCACAAAATTCCACCCCAAAACTTAGGCTGCCCTCCATTTTTGCATTTGTGTTCAAACAGTTTTCACCCCCCTGCCCCGTGTCCTTATCGTCAGCAGCAGGAATGTTTTTCCTGGCAACCCAAAATCAGCCATTCTGAAAATGACAACCTTAACCCTAAGTCTTACCCTAATGAGAACTGGTTCTTAGGAGGCTCTTATACTTTTTTTCTTTCAGGAGACCACCTGTTTCTTCTTAAAATTCTCAGTGGGCATAAATTGACTCAAAGACACACAAATGGGAATCTGTTCACTAACAACGTATTTCAGAGTTGGTGTGATATTCTCTGGCACTTGCCTGAACCAAAATTGATTCTTTTCCAAGCACAATTCTTACTAAGGTTTTAACAATATTTATTGAGATGAATGGGATTGAGTTACAGGAATTCTGGCAACTGAACTGCTTCCCATCTAAAGATCGGTATATCCCCAAATACATTAGGGCAGAGACTTCTTCATATGTTGTAACTGCCTTATTGTGAGTCAGCAAAGGGGCAAAACTCTTCACCAGTAACACAGGATCTTGCAGTTGGTTATTTGTATAACCATCTCCTTTATTGGTCTGAGAAACAACTGCTATAGTTGGTCTAAAATATGGACACATCAAGAGTACAAAATAAATATATATTGATCTTCTTAGTTTGCCTATATTCTTGATTATATATGAATGAGTTCAGCTTAGATACAAAACATAAAGCTGAAAAGTGCCTAAAATATTTGCAAAGCTTAAATATCAGCTATGTCTTTAACTTACGGAATCCACATATGGGGGTATACTTCACCGAGGGCATCCCTAAGGGACATCAACAAAGTTAAGATAGTGGGCCCAACATTTTAACGTGCCCTGCATGCACAATAAAAATGGGTGGAGTTTTGATCATGTGGTCACCCTAACCCATCATATATAATGTTTTTGAATACCCCCCAACAGATGCCCCCATACTTGGGGGCACACCACATGATCAAAAGTGTGGCAACTAACAAATGTAGGGTCTACGTTGGTTATCAATTTAAGTGTCAACAGAGATTGTCCTGACTTGTTTTGTCTACTCAGACTAAAACTGAGGTTGCTAGCATCTTAATCCATTCTGGGTTTTTAAAAAGGATAAGAGAAGCAGAAGACACAGACTTTTTATTCCAAAGCGGTCCCTGAAGGTGATAGAAGAGAGAATAAAAAAGGTGCTTATTCTGGGGAGGTATTTTGCTATTTGAATAGCGTTATTTTAAAATATTCTTTCAGAATTCAGTCCCATTTGGCAGAAACCCTGCTCTGAATATTGTTATTAAAGAGGCCATTCCTGGAAAACCTGTGACGTGGTCAGGACTGGGTTTTGCACGGGTGCAGAGCAGAGCAGGATTACGTTTTCTGATCAACAACATTCCGTTCCTGATGGAGTTTAATATCATAATTCGCTATCAGCCAGAGGTAATTATTATATACTTAATTATGTCAGTATTTTAATGGAAACACAGACAAAAGCAAGGCCTCTGAAATAAAGTATGTGGGATTTATAAAATGTTTTCAAAAAACTAAACTGAATCCTGCCAAATTTACCTTGATTATCATGTTTATTCAATTTTCAACCATCAGTGTTATGGGAATCAAAGTTCTTTCCACAGAGTACAATCCAAGAATGACCACCATCAAAACAAAAGGCTTTCAGATGTGATACATATAAATAGCGTGATTTTGTACAACCATTGATTAGAGTGTGGACATTCATCCCAATGGAATGAGAACTCTAGCAGTATACATATCTCAGTGCTGAGAGAGAGAGGAGTATGTAATGCCCAGTCCCATAGCAAGTTTGTATCACTTACTTAAGGTGTTTTATATATTGCTCAATGGTCAACAGTGTCCACCAGGAAGAAGTGTCAAAAAAGACAAGACCGTGGCTGCAGAATCACCATTTTGCTTTTTGGACACACACTCCTGTGGATGCTAATGTCAATGAGGTTGGTTGTCTTGCAAAAAAAATTATTTTCTTTTGGGATAGCATTAACTGACCTGGAGAACAATTATTTGTAAAGGAAAGGTGTATCATATTTGAATCTCTGTAGAACAGCCGTTTCATTTCCTGGTCAAATAACTCAGTATGCTCTTGTTTACATGTCTCATAAAATCAGAAATATTTACACTTTGAATCTTATTTTTGTCTCACCCAAACATCCAGACTTCAGCTGACTGGACAGCAACCATTGTTGTTAAGTCTTCTGGTCCTGTAGGAAGTGAACATTGCAAGAACCAAATTGCCCTGGAAGAACCACAGTTCCTTGTTCTACCATCCACAATGAGGTCTGGTATTCACTTAAAAAAATGAATATAAAATAAAATAAATATGGGAATCAACATACCAACATACATGCAAAGAAAGTCTAAAATGTGAGTCACTGTATAATATGAATACAGTATCAAAGATATATAAGACTCAATGTTCATTAAACTCCAGATTACAGATTACTCCAGATTGAAGGAGGGAACCGCTCACAGCAGTCCCACAACCCCAAGGCTTGTTTAAAAAGCCAGAGATACTATATTGGAGAACAAAATTCCAAGGGTGAAGGCCTCTTCTGTCTGATTACATCTCGGTCACTTCCTACTCCACCAGTCTATCCCATTTCTCATGCACACTAATATTTGCAGTGCATGAACAGGCACACCTCACATTAATTCATTAATGCTAAAACCACGATAACTATATTTTAAAATTCATGTTGACGTATTTCTTCTGTTAAACAGAATGCAGTTGCTATCCACTCCTATATGCTTAGAACCCAGGGCAGAATATTTTGTAGATGTCTATTTTTCCAAGACTTCAGACCCTGAACCAAAGTCTCAATCATCCATACTGGTTGATTCAGTAAGTTGCAGTGATATATAACAATTTGTCTTTTCTGTCTGATCTAATTTACTTGGGTGATCTATTGATCATATTATCTATCAATTCATTTTAATATTTATATAGTTTATTTCACACCAGAGAAAAATGGGCAATAAAATATTTATTAAAAAGGAAAGTAGATTATATTTTATCTTCTTGTTCACATCCCGTTTTTTCCTATCTGCTCTTAATTTGCTCTTTTGTCTTGTTTTCTTTCTTTTTTGCTGAATCCCCAATCTTGAACAATTTAATTGTCTTCCATACTTTTATTTCTCGTTACATTTTTATGTTGTCTTTCCTCACAGCAATTTTAAATGTAACTGGCTAAACAGAATTCGTTTTACAAACTTCTAGATAGGCTCAGGATGGTTTTTTTGTTTAATTTATTGATGTAACTTGGTACTGAATCACCATGGATGATAGCCTATTAATTATTGTATCAATGGCATTGTTACCTTTGTATGATTGGTCAGAAATATGGAGGGAAGATGCATTGGGGGGGCATCTGTGCAGCAGTCAATGATGTTAAAATGGCAGGCGCAACCAGGCAATCAAAGTCTCTCCACTTTTAACATGCATTGCATGTATCGCATGCACATCAAGAGACAGGGCTTTGATCTCCCAGTCATGCCTGCCATTTTGAAATTGTTGATTGTCACTGCAGACATTCCTGTACCCAGACATGACTTATTGGAGAACACCCAATGTTGCCTTTAATACGAAAAAAAAAATTGGTGCTTTATCAACTTAAGCTGTGGGACCCAGGACCGGAAAATAAACATTCACCTGGAGCCATGCAGGTGGCTCAGACGGACACCCATCAGCCCCTTAGAGCAGTGTTTCTCAACCTTGGACATTTTAAGATGTGTGGACTTCAATTCCCAGAATTCCCCAGCCAGCAAAGCTGAGTTGAAGTCCACACATCTTAAAGTGGCCAAGGTTGAGAAACACTGCCCAAGAGGATGTAGGCAGAGACAGGAGAGAGTCACTAACCTGACTCATCCACATTAGCTAGTTTCAGCAAGAGTCTTCATTGATCATTTGCAATAATGATGCATTTATGTGGATTGTCAGGCAATAATCTTACCATCATTCCTTTCTTTCATCTGCTAAAAACTATACTATTCAATGTTTTGTGGTTTGTACTAATGTTACAGATTGGACTCATTCCTGTAATCGCTTCTGTGGAAAACTTTTGTGATCAAAATGATTTAGAGGAGTACCAGCAGTACCATTGCATTGAACGTGCCTCAGAAATCGGGCCACACATCTTACCAGAATCGTGCAGAAAACTAATAGCAAGTTTGTCTGCCCGTATTCACAACGGTGCAGTCCGTAAGTGCTTCTCTTTGCATGGTCTCCATGTTACAATTTCTTCCCTTCTAATTTAACTTAAAGGAAACTTCCAAAATGTGATGTCCTGTTTTTTTTCTTTCCTTTTGCATATGATGAGTCAGTTTTCCGAAGAGCTCTAGAAAACAGTTCACAATGCAACAGCCCTTCCATGTGAAGACACATTCTGCAGCTATATAATATTGACTTGCAGAATTCTGTACTGGCTTCCAGTTTTAGAAGGTGGTTTCAGTTGGTAACTGGCTTAGATCTAATGTATTTTAGAGAATATCCTCCCAAGGCAAAATGCCTTAGTATTGTAACACAATTAATCAATTCTCTTGCTAAATAGCAAGCTGGGGTCACTGTTTTTCCACTTGTTGCTACATTTATATATTAGGAGCAGAGAAGAAATCTCTTCTGGTTTTGATTTCTTCCAGTTTTGGGTTCTGAGGTTTTCTTTTTCTTTTACCTTGCAACCAGATACAAAATGTTGCAGATCTGGAAGAAAAAAACTGTCTGGATCAAAAATTGTGTTACCTGGTGGCAGAAGTAACAGATAACAATGTGAAAGTTTAAACTGCAGGTCTTGAAGATTGTCTTGTTCCGGAGGAAAAATGTGTTAATTAGCTGGCAGATGTGGAATGGCCCCCAAATACAATTAGGAGATGAGAACTTTGTAAGATAAGATCCACATGGATAAGAAGCAGAGTGGTTGTAGTAATGACTCTCCTCTCTACTCCTACTCCAGTGAACCTCAGTATCACTTAACCCTTCTTGGTAAAGAAAGTGGGACAGTACATGTTTGGTTTCCCATAAAAGCAGAAATATTTGGGTTGCTTTTTGGCTTTACTAGTTATGAATCAGGGCATCCACAGGAAGGAGTGTATGTCCAAAAAGTCAAGGTGATGTCTGTGACCATGCAATCAAAGCCCCACCCCCTTTTTACATGTTTCTCAGTGCACATTAAAAAGAGTTGGAATTTCAGTGTTAAAGACTTAGGGGTAGAGGACATATGGAATGGCCTTGAAGGACAGGAGGAAGAGATGCTACCAATTCAATGGTCAAGTAAGAGGGACTTGAGTCTGGGCCAAGAAAATAACTTGAGAAAACATCTAAGGCAAGCCCCTCCCTAGTTCACACAAAGATAAAGTGAGGGAGGGGGAGGCACATTCAGACTTGCAAGATTCTGTAACTATGGCTGTTACAATAAAAGTAGTCCTGACCTATATGGCATTAGTTTCTTAGTCTGGTCTATCTTGTTGGGCTGACACTATAACATAACTAAATAAACCTGGAATTTGATTCTTCTCCCTTTTTCTATGATTCTTTGGCTTCATAAATCAAGTGTATTTCTCCTGAAAGCCTGCAGGTGTCACCCACAAGGTTCTCTAAATTCTCACTGCACAAAACTTGGAGGCCAGTGCCAATGCAAACCTAATGTGGTAGGACACTGTTGTGATAAATGTGCAGCTGGAAGCCACAGCTTTGGACCCCAAGGTTGTCTTGGTAAGTAATGGTCTACATATGGTTCTACAATTATGGCATCTTTTTACTGAATATACACACAGATACAAAATGAAGATACTGAACATTTTCTATAGCAGAAGCAGGGCATCAGAGAGTGGGTCTCTCCTTACCACTTGCTCAGAAGGCTAGGATAATCCTGACCCTAATCCTAACCCAAACATTCATGTGGCCAAAACCACCTAGGATTTAGATTCCCTTCCCTCTTCCCTTTACCAACGCACCATTTTGTACTATATGTTTGGTGGACAGACCTAATTTTTCTTAAACTCATGAATCCTGAATATATTAGGTGCCTTCAGCAAGCAATACTTTATAGTCTGTGTTCCCCTCAGTCTTTGTACAATGAGCAACAGACGAGCATCAGCAACCATATAGACATGTGGATAATTTCATCTTGAGGGATTGCAGTAAATTAAATAAACAATATGCCATCTGAAACCATTATCTTTTCTTTTTCAATCAAGCATGTGAATGTCATCCTCAAGGATCAGTAAGTGCCCTGTGTGACCAGCTGACTGGGCAGTGTTCTTGCCGCCCGGAAGTCGATGGCCAGCGGTGCAATCAATGTCTAGCTGGATATTTTGGGTTTCCTCATTGTCGTCCTTGTCCTTGCAATGGCTTTGCAGAACTTTGTCATCCACAGACTGGATCATGTTTGAACTGTACAAGGTTTACCACTGGATCTAACTGTGAAAGGTAGGGGTAGACAGATATTTAGCAAGTGCAAAACTCATGAAATGTGATAGTGACTGACTTGAAAAAATAAACAAAATGGGGAACTGAGTTGAGGAAAAAATATACTTTAAGGGATATTGTAGTAGAGATGCATGAAAATCTGTGCTTTACCATTGTAAAGCCTTTGTGCTATGATTGTGCATTCCCACATGCTCATATATGAAGAGGCAGTGAAGAGGAGACTATTGAAATGTGGCTGCATTGATTCCTCTGGAAATTTTCCCGAAGCAGATATCATACCAGGACTGCATTGGCTATTAGCAAATACATGGAAAGGGTGAAAATCATAGGCCATATCCCCTGTGCATCTAGCCACAAGAGAAGCATGACCTGACAACCTCTTTTTTCTGCTGTTTCCCCAGTGTGTTGTATTTGTCTCATTTCCAACCCATGCGGGAGGCAGCCTTAAGTCAGCCTTAGCACCATGCTGATGTTTACACAGTGTTTCCTCCTTACGGTAGCTGTAGGCCATGGCTTATACAAAATCTAGCAAGCTTTACTAACCAATGTGGTGGTGGTGCAGTTAAGTCATCTGTAAGGGATGGGAACAGACCAGTACCTTTGGGCCATTTGGGATGACCCTGCCCCCTCCATCCAGTTCCTGCGTACTCTCTTTTTCCTTTTTTTCCCAGTGGAAATTGCTGATCCTAGCTTCTCAAAACCCAAGCTCGAAGGAATGTGGGTCCTTCAAAGCCCAGCACCCGAGAACTACTAGATTTTGACAAAGCTGCATTTTTTCACTGTATCCCCCATAAACCTACTGAACAGTTGACTAGTTAGGTGGGTTCTAAGCACTCTACAATCCCACAGATAATGACAGTGATTGTTATCGAAATGTGAGCCAACACTAAATCTTAAAATAATGGTGTCAGGTTGGGATTCAACCTATCTATTACTACCCAGCTGGGTCCCAAAATGGTATTTCTAGAGTATCAATAAAAAAATCTTGTTTACACCAATAGGACAAAACATGTAAACACTTCCATGTTTGTTCTAGGAGGCAGGGGTCCTAATCTTTTGATCTACAGAGTGTTTTCACCATATATATTTATATGTTCTGTCTTTATTTAGATACTTATTCTTCAAGTATCTTGATTACATTTCTAAGAGGATGTTTTAGATATTTTATGTGATGTTATTTTTAAAAATATTAACTATGTTTGGTGCAGGTGTTTAGATGGATATTATGGAAATCCTCTCAAAAGAGATCCTTGTCGTCCTTGTATGTGCCCAGATTCCCCAACCAGCAAGAGATATTTTGCACATTCCTGTTACCAAGACTCTTGGACCAAGCTATTAATTTGCAAATGTTTTGTGGGCTATTCAGGTAGGAAATCTGCCATCTTTAGAGAATTTAATGTTCTTTGTTGTTAGATTGACAAAAATCCAAAATCATTCCATCTGTAGTCTGGGAAGCTATACCACAAATTATTCTAGCAGGCTTTTCATTTTCCATCATTTACTTTGTTCCACAAAATTCAGTACGTCTTAGCGGTACTAGGCTTAGAAGCAGTTATGACTCAAACTTTCCCAAAACCAAGGATTGTGGAAAATGAGGAGTGATCTCAGATGTTCCCTAGAATGAAAGATGAAAATAGGATGCTCTGAGATCTGAGAAGTAGCATGGGTGGAAATGGGAACTGAGAAAGCAAGAGGAAGTAGGAGGTAGAAAAGTCTGATCCAGTGAGTTTTTACTAGGAATTAACAGGTTTGTTTGTTTTGAAAAAAATAGTCTTGTAATGGCCAACATCACTAAATTTAATTGGTTGTAATTGTGTGTGACTTTCACATTTGTAGGTGATCACTGTGATGAATGCCTCAGTGGGTTCTTTGGGAATCCAAGGGTAACAGCAGGTCAATGTCTTCCTTGTTCCTGTAATAACAACATTGACTTGGCAGACCCAGCCTCTTGCAACAAGGACACTGGAGAGTGTTTAAAATGCTTATACAACAGTCATGGACCAAACTGCCAATTCTGTAAACCTGGTTATTTTGGATCAGCACTTCTGAGGAACTGTAGAAGTAAGCAAACAGGTTCTAGTAAATGCCTGGATAGCAAGGTTCAGTAAAAATAAATCTTGTGGCCGAATAAATTATGCAATTAATAATGCTATCACATATTCTCCTAATTGCTTAGAGTATTTCTGGGTAGGGTGAAATGTTTTGTTGGAATTAGTATAAGGAATGGGAAGGACTAAGAGTTTAGGGAGCTGGAGATGTACTCTATTGATTGTAACAGTCTCTAGAAAAAAATACACATCTTAAATAACATTAGAACTGTATATATTTGTAAGATATTTATTTATTAGATTTACATCCCATCTTTTGTAAAGGAGCTCAAGGCAGCAAACATAGTGCTCTCATCTCCTATTTTTCCCCATAACAGCAACCCTCTGCAGTAAATTGGGTTGAAAGTGATGGCCATAATCACCCAGTGAGTTTCCATGGCTGAGGATAAATTAAGAATTAGTCTAAGATCCTAGTCCAACAGCTTCACCACTAAACCACACTGGCTCCTAGGCCTAGTTAATTCACACTAGATTGACAGGGTAGGTAATACCAGAGCGGAGGAACCTTCAAGACCAGAAGGTATGAAGGTGCCTAGGTGAGAGGATAACGAAGCTTTCTTCTATTCACCTGCTCTACATTCAGTTTTATAAGCACAGTAAGCATGATCTAGGCCAGGGATTTTTCAGACCACGGAATCTGTAAATTAAAAAAAAAAAAATCCCAGAACCCCAGATCAAGAGGCAAACCTCTAGTGACAGACAATTGGCTGGATTTCAGTGAACTTTTCTGGCCCTTAATCTCTCATGGAACCCCATCAACGTCTCGCAGAATCCTTGGGTTCCCTAGAACACAGTTTGAAACCCTGGTCTAGGCAATGGGAAGAACCATCCTAATCTATATATTAGCCTACCGATTTAATTATAACTGAATTAAAGATTTTAAAAAAGGATAGAGGAGAAAAGTAGTAAGGTACACAACGGTAAACAAAATCCTGCAACAAACCTTGGTACCAAACACTGTAGCTACTCTAGCAGTATCAAATCCATCTTAGAAGGTTCAGTTAGTCTGAGACTTCAGACAGAGCAGGAACATCAGGAACGAGACTGCAGGTAATTTGGCCAGGTTTTATGCTACTAGGATGAGATGACTTAGATGGACAGTTGCTGTTTGGGGCAGTGGGCAACTATGCAGATAGACAGCTGAACTACCATCAGTGGACAATTATTCTCAGTGTTGAGCAAAAGATGTGAGAATGAGTAAAGAAGAGGCACTCTTCGGGTCAAATTGTTTGGCATACTGGCAAAGGAATATGGAACAGAGTAGTTCTCTCAGCCAATTCAAAGGTGGTTTTTAAGAGGGCATGCCAATCAGGGCCAGATTTTGTCACATAGGTTTATCCATGATTGGGCCAAAATGCAAAGATCAAAGGTTTATAAAGAAAATAGCAGGAGTTGAAGGACAGAGCCTCATTCAAAATGTGTACAAACAGAGGATGATCCACCTTGAATGAAAGTATACAACAAGTAATGAGCAAGCTCAGGAACCAACTGGAACAGCACCAGGGATAAATGTCAATTAATTCAACATGGTAGTAGAATGTTATTTGCTAAAAACGATAATCAATCATTCCATCGCTATGTCTGGTATCTTTTCAGAATGTAACTGCAACCTTTTGGGTGTGAACCCAACAAAATGCCTGTCAGGAAATGACTTTTGCCCATGTGACCAGACCACTGGCAAGTGCCCTTGTTCACCTAACGTGATAGGCAAGAAGTGTGACCGATGTGCTCCTGGCTACTGGAACATGGTCCAGGGAATAGGATGTCTCCCCTGCAACTGCAATCCAAAACATTCCCCAAATAACATTTGTGATCAGGCAAGATTCTTGATCTAATTACATTATTTTTAAAAATTAAAGGATAAACTGGAATTCCAGGGGCCAAAATTTATTAAACTGAATCATCTTATAATATGTAATGGTATGTGGGAATGACCTTGGGAGACAGGGAGAAGAGCCACAGACTGGACAAACCAGCATGTAAAGGGTATGTCAGCCCGCAGAAGGAAGGGGGATGTGGGAAGCATTTCAGAAGGGACCCTCCCTAGTTTTCTGGAGAGTAAAAGGAAAGGTGGGAGGAAATACTTTCAGACTTGCAAGATTCTGTTAATGTAACCTTACAATAGAGTTAGTACTCATGGTTGTGCTTCTTGTCTGGATTACCTTGAAGGGCTAATGGGCGGCATACAAATTTGAAAATAAAATAAAATAAATAAATAATATTAGTGTTCCTTGGTTTGTAACAATGAAATAAGCTATTGTTTGCAACCATAGGTATCTAGTTCAAGCACAATGACCTCACTTGTTCCCCCCTTGCCAGGTTCTAACTACAGACTCTTTTTACAGCTTACAGGTCAGTGTCCATGTAAGTTAGGTTATACAGGAAGACATTGTGATATCTGTGCTGAAAATTATTATGGCATCCATTGCATTGGTAAGTGGAATGCAGTTTGTTAGACTTATGTGGTAATACAGGACAAAAGTCCTAGAATTTTTGCGTTAATTATGGCATAACACATAGCCCCCTGCTCCAGTCTGATGCCCTCCAGGTTTGTGGGATTGCAACACCCATCATCCCACAGTCAGTTAATTATTTATGCCTAGAAATTACGGGCATTGTACTCCAACACATCTGGAAAGCACCAAATAAGAGAGGCCAATGTATGGTGCATTCACATAACAAACAACCTTAAACTATGGCTTTAATTTTTCCCCCATCTTTTCCCTTTCACAGCTTAACATTATTGCTTCTGTCCCCATCAGAATGTAAGTGTAACAAGGATGGAAGTCTGATACCTGCATGTGATAAAGACACGGGCGTGTGCCACTGCCGGCGTGGGGTCTCTGGAAAACTCTGTGATCAATGTGCTCGCAGTCACCACCAGGAATTTCCGTCCTGTTCCCGCTGTCATGTTTGCTTTGATCAGTGGGATAACATGATGATTTCTTTATCTCGGAGAATCCAAAAATTGCTGAAATTTACTGTAGCACTAGCAGATAAGAGGAAAGCGATGCCTGGCTGTGATTTAAACATTAAAGGCTATGAAAATAAAATTTCTGAAATGGAAAAAATCTTGAAAAGCCCACTCCTGTCATCCAAGGCACTCTTGAATATCGAAAAAGAGCATGACAATATTAGGTAAGTTGTGTTTCCTACTTTCTTTATTTAAGTAATTTCTTAATAGGAAATTTATAAAAAAAACTACATTGGATAGGAGAATCACACTCTGGACTTGCAGATTTTTCCAGCCACTTGACCTTTTCTTTACACAGATTCCGTAAAGCAATGTTTCTCAATCTTGGCAACTTTAACGCGTGGACTTCAACTCCCAGAATTCCCCAGCCAGCCTGGCTGGGGAATTCTGGGAGTTGAAGTCCACACGTCTTAAAGTTGCCAAGTCTGAGAAATACTGTCCTAAAGGAATGACTGATTTTAAACTCTGCTGAGTTCAACCTCAGTTTTGAGAGTTTCTGGGTCTTTAGCCCAGCTTAAGGAAAAAAGTAAAAATAAATGTGTTTTCTTGCCTCAGAGTTAAAAAGTCACAAAATATAAGACAATGTTGTGAAATATTCAAAATAGTAGCTTAGTAGCTATTCAATTCTGTTCATACAAAAGCTTCAGGTTCTTTTTCTTTTAAAAACATGCAGCCAAATATCCAGATATTTTTTTAAAAAATGACTTGGATAAAGAGAAAAAGAGAAAGTTTGAAGGGAAGCAACAATCACATATCCCAGATTCTATATAACAGTCAATAAACTGAATTTAACTGCTAGTAATGTGTTAACTATATTTAATTTCAGAGTAGATTTGTGTTCTACAAAGAGAGGGTAAGCTTGAGAGAAAAGGAAAACGTGTATTTTTAACTTCCTCTTTAGATGTTACTAGGAAGACTCAAATTGAGAACGAAATTGTGTGTTTGTGTGAAGCTGAGATCAGTGAAAGCTATTCTGTGAATGGAGCCCAGCTGTTTTGTCTCACAGGGCGATGAGTTGTGTTCTGATTTCAGTGGTCTTGCCAACAACTCAGAAAATTATTGAACTTTTCTCCTTAAAGACTTTAAACTTATTTGACCAACAAGCAGACTTGTTCCAAGTAAAGAAAGCTTTATGCAAAGGAGTTCAAATTTTTGATGTGTATGCAGTAGGAAACATAATGTAGGCTTCCCAGCGTAGATCCAAATTCCCAGATACTCTGGGGGATGCTAATGAACTAAATCAAAATGTATGGGTGTATGCATTAAATGTTTCCATCTTCTAAACATCTAGAAGGATCTGAAATGGTTGTGGTTCAGGTTCGCACTCCTTGCAAACCTGTCATCTGTCTCTACGAAATTTGTTTTTAAATTCTGAATACATCATTTGTAAATATTGTTCATTAAATGTTCATGTCTATGTGTCTACACTCAAGTGCCACTCCTGAAAAACAGACAGAAATAAGATGGATCCAATTCCAAGTTAAGTACTAGAGGTCAAGAGCTAATCTTAACATTAAATCTAATGTAATAGTCAATTTGTTGTTCTTTTTAGACAAACAGTTTCTCACATGTTTATGCAATCTGGCTCTCTGGATCAGTTTCCTGATCTCCATGGTATAACTGAAAACTTACACAAAGATGTTGACAATCTCTCCGAAACCCTGCAGAAGAGAACAGAACTGCATCACAGGATGGAATACTTGCAATTGCAGGGTAAGAAGGCCGTGCATTTAAAAATTAAAGTTTTTACCAACTGGAAAGTAACATTTCAAACTACCTTCCCCAAATAGCTTGAAACAGAACTCTTTTGTAGACTGTTTGGGGACTCATGCATTTCACTGTTATTTTTGTTACTGTTGTTATACTATCTTCCATTCCATTTTTTAAATTTTTAGTGTGGATGTTTTAGTTGTATGCCTATCTGTGAACTGCTGAGAGTCCTTGATTGCAGGAAAATATAAAAGTAAATAATAAGTGTAAATAATAATGCATTGTTTATTACTACTACTACTACTACATACATAGGTTTAAATTTGCTCGATGTTTTGTGAAGTGCTATGTTTAAATGATATTGTCCTTTGATTTAGATTTTTTCAGCAAAATAAAGAATTATTATCAAATAATGTTGTCTGCTGAAGAGAGAATCAATGAAACAAAATCTATCATAGCTCATGGAGGAAAAACAAGGAACAATGTGTTTGCCATGCTAGATGATCTGGACATAAAGGAAAACATTACACTGAACCAACTGAAGAAGTTCACGATTTCAGATATTCAAAATCTAAATGAAAAAGTAAGATGATTCATTTCTTGGAGAAAGTGGGGCACCATCACATTCACTGGAAAAGGATATATCAGGAGTATAGCTAATGAGAAATCCTATATATTGTTCTTATATTAAGCTGTCCTAAGACATATTACGTCAATCATTTTAGAAGGTTCTAGCCAGAGATTTTAACTAATATACAATATTTTTAAAACTGTATATTAAAACTAATGAAGTAGTTAAGTATGAGCTAGTCTTGATCATCCCCAGTAAATTTGGGATGGAGAGTGAAAACATACTTAGCAATGTTTTTACTGATCGCTGCAGTATGAATGCCTCTCTTGTGTTTTGATGCAGGTGTGTGGAATGCCAGGAAACTTGTCGTGTGCCGTGGCAGAGTGTGGCGGGGCTTTATGTCGCAACAGGCAGGGCAACAAACATTGCGGCGGTCCAAACTGTAATGGAGCGCTCCCTCTTTCTATCAACGCCTTTAGAAAGGTTGATCAAACAGCCCTGCTGCTAAGTAACCTAACCAATCAGACGCAAAGATCTCAGAATAAGGTACCGTATGTTCAACAATCAAGCTTCTGAGCTTCATAAAGTTTTCATTTTTAACATGCTCAAAAGATAGGTCACATTAATCCCAGTTAATAGATGGGGAGCTAATTGTGAAAGATTGTTAGGAGGCTGAGGAAGAAACCAGAGGCGCTCCAGACATAAACCATCAACAAATGGAAGATTTTGTTAATGGCTTATCTTATAAATGGCAATTCAGTCCAGCTCAAGTTATAGAAAGCCTGCGAAGAAAGACATCCAGAACTTTCAAACATGCTCTACCTTAATGATCTCAGAGGGCTGGAGGTTCCTATCCTAGTTTCTGTACCTTTCCCCTAATTCTTGCATTAAACTCCTTATTGAAGTCTGTGTGATTCTTACTTCCTTGATTGTAAGGGTGTTGACACTAAGAGACAGGATGTGTGTTAGTAACTAGGAACTCAATGACTGAAGTTGGATTTGGACTCTAATGCATGCCCTGATGATTTTTGTCTTAAAATAGCAGAGAAGCTTTCAGGGGAATTTTGCATTTTGTACAATCTCCTTTCATTTTTGCTGTTGTTGAGGAAGATTTATTGCATTATTTTTTATTTATAACATATGGCTCCTGCATTTTTATTATCAAGGACAATGACCTAATTAATAAAGTATGCCATTTGCATAGTGTTTAGGAATATGTCTCCAACTTGTATAGTTGGCCTGCACCAGAAGACCAACTGTTTCTGGTTGAGTGTCTAAATTGCCTTCCTGCTCTATCCCTGGAGAATACTAATCCTTATATTACAGTATTAAATATTCTCAGATCTGAAATAATTCCGGGTCCAACACAAAGAATCTGTTTTTTTAATTACAGAAACAACATGGCAACTAGTTCCATGCTATACCCACAAATCAGGAATGTAGGGATCATGTGGGAAGAGAACCATGCTAGCTTTATTGATCCCCATTTATCTTTCCCTGATTAGCTCCATGTGTGGTTTCCCCCACTTCTATATTTTTCCTACAGTAATGAAGCTAACAACAGTTCATGGTGGACTAGTTTGGGAATTGGCTGTGCTCAGAATAATTCAGATTGTAAAAATAGATACTAGACATATCATGATTCAGATTCTGTGTAGGTCTAGCACTTGGGTACCAAAAACGATTTGCCCCAGGAAAAGGCATCGGGTGGGGGTGGGGTTAAAAAAGACAAGATAGTGGGTTCACTTGTGCACCATCTTGGCTTTTTGACACCCCCTCCCAAAGTGTACCTCTGCCCTCAGGATGAGTTCAGTCAGTTGCTAAAAAGAGAGAGAGAGAGAGAGAGAGAGAGCCTAAGACCTTCTTTTCCTTTAATCCAGGCTTAGGGTTAGAACTGAAAATGGATCTAGAAATTATGGGGGAAATACTATCATAATCCTTGGTTCTTTTAATCAATAAAACTGATAATGAAAAAAATCAGATTGTTATCTAAATGTACACTCACAGATCAAAAATATAAGAAAAATGACTGACGATACTAAGAAGAAAGCCTTGGAGATACACGGAAAACTGGAGAAACATAAATATCAAATAGAAAACAAAGGAGAAAACATCAAAGACCTTATCAAGAAACTGAGAAACTTTTTGTTAGGTAAATGTGCTATTCTTTCTCTTCCATTTTCAGTATATGTCATGCAAAATAAATTCAACATAGCACACATTTTAACAAAATAAAAATATTATTTATTTATATTAATTTTAGCCCACTTTTAATTAAAAATAATCCAATTTAGCTGATATTTAAGCAGCTGATCTTCATACTAAGAACTCTGATTTTTCAAAGTAATTCAGGTATGTTATATCACTATAAAAATGTGTGTGTATACACAAACAGAATACAAATAATAAATAATAATGTCCCCAACTTTTAGGTATCCATAATATTGATTTTAGCAGTAAACAAAACAAGACTGTATTAATGAATCCATTAAATATTACCTGTTTAATAAATCCGTTTCTTTTATAACCACCGTATAAAGCTTCCAGATGATATTTGGAAGCCAAGCCAATGAGAATATTAAAAATCTCACTGGATAATCAGATATTCTAAGTATCTGATCACTTTCTCTTGTTGCTTTGCCTAATTTAATGCCACACAAGATGTAATATTGACAATTAGCAAGGTTTTTTTTAGGGCTGATTATAGTAGGAAAAAAATGGATCGGGATTGGGGGCTAGGCCAACCTTTTCATTTGATAAAATGAGGCCATCACTTCTGACAACAGATTCTGAGAGATGACCTCAGCTTTTTGGAATTATTTTTCACATGCTCTGTCTACCTATAGACTAACTGGTTCCCTTCAGGAATAGTGAAGGGTGCTATCCTGTTGTCACTGCATTTTTATTTTATATTGCTTTATTTTATGCTGCTCTTCCTCCCAGAAGAATCTAGAGCCAGATGCATGGACTTCAATTCCCAGAATTCCCCAGCCAGCCATGCTGGCTGGGGAATTCTGGAAGTTGAAGTCCATACATCTTAAAGTTGCTGAGGTTGAGAAATGTTGGTCTACGGGAAGGGGAGGGGAAGTCCAAAACTGCAAAACAGTGGGTATGACGCTACAATCCAAACGCTGCCTCTTTTGTACGTGTGTCAACAGCAGGAAATCTCTTTCATTGTTAGTGTCATTGTATTTATACTGAGGGTGCAAAAGCAGTGATCCTACATGGTTCTCTCCTCACTTTTATAAGAGGAGAGTGCCCCACCTGAGGATATAGAGAAAGTTGCAAATTATGTTCTGGGCATCAAGATGCATGAAGTTCCTCAGGAGCTCCCAGACGTGCTCAACAATCTCAAGAATTTCATGACACATTGTGAGGACTCCACAGTATATACAAAAAACTTAATGAAACAAAAGGAAGAGGCCCAGAGTCTTTTGATGAAAGCACAAGAAACTGAGTAAGTACAGTATTTTCTTATTTGTATTTGTGATAATCCAACGCAAATCCCTGAAAATGAATTTTCTGGGCATTATTTTTAATATAAACAAATGTAACTGTATATCTGTGGACTGCATTTTGGTTAATCTTATCATAAGGTAACTTTTCAATCATTCTGTGGGAAAACCAAGGTCAACTGAGCTATCCAAATAATCATGATTAAGTCTTTTGTTACACTAATGTTATGTTCTATCCTCATCCATCTTCCTAAATGGCTTGCGGTAAAGATTTTTTTGTTTGTTTGCTCATTGCACTCTCTTTCTTTCTCTAATAAATATACATTATTGTACTATACTTCCAATTAATAATCCTAGAATACAGTAGATTTCTTGCATTTCTGAAGATCTGGCCTATTTTTTTAAAATTCAGGGAGAGAACAAAAGCTCTCGCAAAGCCCGATGAAATAATAAGCGACTTGAAAGAAGTGGGAGATGTTCAGCGGCAAACCCAAGACGCCTTGGCAATTCTAAATGAGAAACTAGAACAAACTAAAACAAGTATTTCAGAGGTATCATCCCTTAAATCAGAGACTGTAAATTAGAGCATTTCAGTGATACTTAATTTTAATATTCTCATTTCTTGGTTCAGGTGCCTTCACTCCAATATCGATGCATTCAGCTTTCTTTAAATGTTATGGATGTACTGTTTCCTCCCATATTAATTTCTGAACATAACAGAACTGCTTTGTCTGTTGTGCATTTTTACGCTTTCTATTTCTCCATCTAATGTTGAAATCCTACATTTATCCCAAGGGTTGTTTTAACGAAGCACTGGGAGGAACTGGACATCATCTTACCCAAAGCTTCTCTTTGTAGAATGCCATCCTGTATTACCTGATTCAGACCTAAGACATTTTGCTACTTGGGGCAAAGGACAAGATGGTGTTTGTTCTCTCCGTTCCATATACAGAACCTGACTGTCTTTGATGCTGGTGAAAAGAGAGCATCTTTTGTTAGGACCTGGACACAACCAGCTAACTTATGGGATATAGGCAAGGAAGGCAGCAGGATGCACATATTGTCTTCCACATTGTCCAGTGCTGCTCCTCCACTCCCTACAGTGAATATTATATATGCCTTGTCATATGAAATCTCTCTTGCCTCCCTGACTTCTCTCAGCTTTGTGGACCATGTCAGCATGGCCTCAGGTAGATGGAAAAGGCCTAGCTGACAAAATTCCTTCCACACCCACACAACAGGAATGCAGCTGTATGTCCCTAAGCCATACTTTTTCAACTATAATGGCTGCATTTTAGACAAATTATATTGATGAAATGTTGGGTTGATATCATATAGTGATCAACTACCTATCCTATGGTCAATGAAATCTTTCAGGAAACTAAAAGTGTACCTGCAAACCCCCAGGATGTTCCTCAGGAGATGATCTGCATGATTTCTGCTGTACCATTGAGCAAAATATAATCTACAGTATAAACTTTTAGAACTCCAAATTTTAATAGAAATTTCCTCCTTTCATGTCCTAATTAGTTCTCATCGTACTCTACCACCTAGGTATACTTATTTATTGGACAGTCTTTATAGAACACTCCAGTCAGAGCAACTCTGAGCACAATCAACAGAATATATCAATTAAAACCAAAATCATATTCAACTTAATAACAATGAAAACAGATGTGTCCTACAGTCCAAAGGCCAACTGCGTTTCTCCTGAACATGTGGAGAGGCCATTGGCATCTCCAGGGAAAGCGTGTTCTATAATGAGGGTCTACCACAGAGAAGGCCTGCCTCCTAGTCCAAACACCCTTAAACTTCCACAGGGGAAGAACCTGGAGCAGACCTTCTCTCAGGGTTTGAAGTGGATGGGCAGAATCACAATCACACTTGGCAAAGCAGTTCCTGCTGTAACCCAGTGCCATGCCACGCCATGCAAGGATTTTTAGGTGATAAGTATCACACTGGACCCAGAAGCCTACCAGCAGCCTATGAGGCAACTGCAAGACAGATATTATTTTACAATAACCAGTCTTCCCAGCGAGTACCCTGCCATTGTGTTCTGCATCAGATGTGGCTTAAGGGTCACTTCCAATGGCCGCCTACATACTTTGTGTTGCAGTAATCAAATAGCATGGTGATCAAGATCATCTCCTTCACCAGGATGTCCTATTGTTTTTTAACTGAGATTCCTTCCAAATGTGTCAGACTACAGTACCTAGCATCATCTATCAGCAGTGCCAAAGTGTATGTTATAGTCTAATACAGCATTTCTCAACCTTGGCCACTTTAAGACAGGTGGACTTCAACTCCCAGAATTCCCCAGCCAGCATG